CACACACACACACACACAGGAGTTTATACTACAAATTGGCATTGCAAAAGAGTTTGTCAACAATCCCTGAGTGAAATGACAGAAGAAACACTCACACTTTCTTGGTAAGCGGTTCCAAAATTGAAGGCTGCTGCCTGTTTGCTGGTGGTTTCCGGACAAAGCTAAAATAGCAGAAGAGACGTGGAGTAGAGTATTAGTTAGCTCCTATATTTTTAATACTTGGCATGAACCATATGAAAATAATTTACAGTAACAACTGATTACTTTGTGTTAACATGCACAAGAGTGGAGGCGTAGGCAAGAATTGACTATCTATCAGGGAAAATTAAGCCATGTCTGACATTTAATAATAAGGCTTTTGTTGTGTTGCGTCATCGGACATCTTACCTGAAGATTATCACCTCCTACTTTTTCCCATCTGAGGAACTCTCCTCCGATATTATAGACAGCAGCAAGTAATTTAATGTCAGTGTTCTGTCAGACAAACAGCATTAGTTGATTTCCAATAATACAAATGCTCCTGTCACATTTTAGGTTTGCTGCACATTTTGTAGAATCATGAAACAATCATTTTATGTGATAACTGGAGATTACTGCTTACCTTGTTTCTTCCTCTGAAACTAAAACTAATGGGAACAGGATTGGACTGAAGCACACGACTGGCCAGTCCAGGTTGGTCCCCGTAGTAAAGCCATGGAAGATTAGCTCTCCTGGAGACAAAGTAACCCAATTACAGTTTAGGGGAGTGACAATTTGTTAATTTCATTTGTAATTTTCTATCGTCTGTCCGAAAAGTAGGACTGTAACTCGCATTCAGTATATGCAGTTTTTTTTATTTCCACAGTATATACATATATGCCATGATAGCATTGATTACCAGTAGGAAATATCTTGGGTTGAGCTCAAAGCAGCTCTAGATCTGAAGATGGTGTTAAAGAGGCCGCAGGCGTCGGTGGAGACGCCACTGAAGGAGTGCATGTTCATCACACACATGTTCCCGAGAGCCTGGCATGCAGTCAGGTTGGAGAAGACCTGTAACCACACAAGTTGTTTATACACAGTAGCTGAAACACACACACAATTAAATAAAAACCCTGTCCTCCTTAGACCAAACTGCCTTTCTGAGCTCTTTTCAAAACACATTTTGCACACTTACATTACATGAGCATGTTTATTAGATGGATTTTTCCCATCATTTAGGATTTATATTTTGATCATTATGTGTTTAGGATTTCTCATTAACGCAGATATCACAAAATCGAATTATGATAATAAATCCACCACAAAGGCTAATAAAATCATCATGAAATGGCTTACTGCGTTTCTTAAATCTTGAAAAAGTTATTTTACAACATGAAACATGGGATAGGGGATAGAATTACAAGGCAGGCTGCCGACGAGGAGTAGAGGTTTTTGAAGAACCAGGCAGACTGGACACTGATCTGCTGCAAGGGCAAAAGAGCAGAAAATACAAATCAGAAAACATCACAGCAAACCAAAGAGAGAGCAATAATGGAAAAATAAGACTCACCAACTGATCATAGTTGACACTCGGATTCACATTGGTGGAGAGGCTGCCTGGAGGAAGGCATAATCCTCCTGCCTGGAAAGACACATGACAACCATAAACGATTCATGTATCCTAAGAGTCTGGAACTGAATAGTGTGTATGGAGGAAAGTATGACGTTCAGCAGAACTCACCAGGACATTAGGAGAGCTACACACACAGGAGGTTTTAACAAAGGAAGCCTGACATCTCTCACACCTGAAAGACAATTTTGGAGACATTCAATTGAAGTCTCATTGTACATTAACATGTATCATTGAAAGCAGAATGAACAGGGAATCCCTGTCAATAAATACCAAATACCTGTTGGAGTAGGTAATAAAATCCGTCATGCGCTCTCTAAGTTGTTAGCTGGTAATGACTATACGAGACATTCTATTCGCCGATAAGTGTTTTGCTATGTCTCAACATAGACTGAGACAAGATAACATAAACCTTTGGCTCAAATTAATAACATCCTAAATGGGATTTTCCATTCTTTAAAAAAAAAAAGATATGACCTCAGAAGCCATGGTCAATCAATCAAGTGTGAATCTGTATCAAACAGCTGAACTTATCAGTGCTTTCATAGTTTCATATCGATACGTACCTATCTCCACTGATGTTTGGTACAGACAAACCAGGGGAGTTTTCATTACACATTTCACACCTGGCCACATCCAAAAGGTTTCCATTGACATCTCTCTCCACTGAAAAACAGACAATATTACATAATATACAGCCATTTATCCAACAAATAAATGATAGATTATGCTATTGCATTCAATTATTAGCAAGCAAATCCAACATTAAATACAGTTCAGAAACAATCACAATCAAGAAAAGAGTCCTTTAATTGGTGACTCACCAAGGACATTGCCTGGTGGGCACTGGCACTTCCCCGTATCATTGACACTGCTTGGACAGCGAATACACCCAAACCCATCTTTAGTTACTGCCTGTAATGAGAGACAACTTGTCAAATCCTTACTACAAACGGCCTAAGAAGCGTATGGAGTTGGAGATGCAGTATAACAGTATAATGTGCAAAAAAACGGCAGATAAAGACAGTAAAGGTGAATTGCACGTACAGGTCTATCAGCAGGACATTGCTGACATGCAATGGATGCCTTGTCAGAGCTGAGAGTTTGGTACCCTGTCTTGCAAATGCAGGATAGTCCTGCAGAAAAGCCGGTGAAAAGTTAAAAGGATGCACAGTGCTGAGTTCAGAGATATTAGTTACATCATAGTTTTTGTGAAATTGTGTTTCCTGTTTAAGTTTAAAGTTTTCTCCTCATCAATCATTGTATCTAACTTTATTTCCAACCCTTATTTATTTCTCGCTTCTGTATTAGCTGTCTGTAAAAACAGAATAGCCAGAAACGCAAGCTGGCTTCTTATACTGTAAAATACAACTGCATGCAACCGATACGCATGTATATGCATGTTTGGCATATTGAATATTATATTCGATGCATTGCAACTTTATTGGCATCCCAAACAGTCCGGCCGTGTAAATAACGGCCTGTCTGTCCCACCCTCATTAGTTCCACCTCCAGTTCGTTGGCCCCGGTTATCTTCCTCCTTTCTCTGTGTATTCTTGTCTTTGTTGTAACATGGAGTTTTTTTTTTACCTGAAATGTGTCCCCGCCTGCTTTAATAACTCCCAGCTTATACACTATATACTTGTCTTTGAGTCTACATTTAGGTCATTCCCGCCATCGCTGCTTCTTCAGCTAAGACGTCAATCAACAAATCCTAGATGTGTGTTTCTTCTTAACAGTAGTAATTAATGGTAACGTGTGTGGCTCTCTCTAAATTGTTACTTTGAATAATTATACTGTTTGATAAGTATAAATAATAACATATGAAGCGGATGGGTTGGTAGAACCCAGTTAATTAGTTTAAATATCAGTTTGACTGTATGAGGCTCATAAACAAACATCAATTAGGGCAAAATGATTTACATTACATATGGTAAGGATTAACAGTACAATATTAGTGTCAATATTAGTTACTAATTTCCCAGATTTGTCTTTGTGAGCAGCTATTGACTTTACGCTGTATTAATCTTAAACAGAATACTGCAGAGTCAGATTTTTGTAAATGTTCTCTTCACAGTTTACTTAACAGTCGTTGTGAACAGATTTTAAAGATCTTAGTTAGCTAACGCTAACTAGCGATCCGGACCTAGCTAACGGCTATCCAGCGCACTGGGCTTTCTTTGCTTGTGCGGGGCAGTGAGGTGATTAACCTCAATGTTAAAATATATTCATTTTAAATTAAGAGTGTCCACACGTGTTTATGCCCTATCATCGTCCGTATATCGTTAGTTATTGTGATGCGCGGCGGAGATGGTAGCAGACCTGCTGTACTCCGTCGCTGATTTGGACCGCACGTCACACACGAAAGACTCGAGATATCGAAAAATTCTTCATCCCTGCAGTCTGAAGGAGATTTGAAAGGAATTGTGTACTGCTGGCAATTAAGTAAATCCATGTAAATTAACAGAAATATTGTTAGAGGCACTTTGTATCTGTTAACATCAGCCAGTGGCGTCCTCGTCGCCATGGTAAACAACGGTCCACCTTTTTTTTTACCCACAATTCCACTCATCAAGCGTGATGACGTCACGACCAAATAAAGCTCCGCTGTTGGCCAATTTTTTAAAAACTTTTAAGTATACACATTAGAACTCTGAAGCAAGGAAACGTGATGTTTATGAGTTTCTATTAAATTAAAGAATAATCATATTTATTGAGAAAAGACCTTTTCTGTAAATTAGTCATTTGTGTAACCTGCCTCATTCGGCCTGGTTTTTAAATGAATGCGTATTAAACCTCAAAGCATTTTCAAGATGCAAAGGAATCTTATTTATGTTCTGCATAAATCTGCATAAGTATACTCTCATATAGATCCAAAACAACACAGGTTGTTTTAATCCGACAGGACGCAAGGTTTGTTAAATCACCTTCTAGAGGCCCCACTAGAAATTTGCCTATTTTTAAAATTATTTTAGCAGTTTTACACAGGATGGGGGAGTCACCTTTTGGCAGGAAACAGCAGAGCCTTCTTCACTTCCTTTTGATTGAAAGTCTCTCGAAGCAGAGAGAGAGAACCATGTAAGTATGAAGTAATTATTCATCATTTTAAAATTGATCTATTTGAGCTAAATCATCTGAAAGGAAATAAAGCAGATGACAATTTGAGACTCATTAGAACGCCGGTTGAATTGTGTGTGTGGAAGAAAGAAAGCGTACCTGTCCTGGCACCTTTCAAACAGCCCGATTAGAGGGATCTATAATCTTGACTGATATTTTTGCATTATCCGATGAAGGCCTCTCATTATGTATATGCAGTCGTCAGAGGAAGCAGAGTAGACGTCAGAGGCAACCAGGAGGTGGGGGGAAAGCCATCATTGGAGATTCAAACGGTTTATTTGATATAGTCCTGTGTCCAGGCTTATTACCGGGAAACAAAAAGGAAATGGCATTTTTCTTAAACTGAAAATGTGTGTGATGGAGTTCTAGTGGTTTTAATACATTAGGATGAGAAGCAGCTTGGTAAAATGTGAAAATAATATAGCTGCTTTCACATACTTAAGAACCGAGTTCATGTGGACTACTAACGCAGTGCTGATAACTACATGGGTCCTCATTAAATATAGTTTAATTTCCCACGTACCTAGAAACGGAATTCATTTGAAGAGCCGGTCATGCTTGTAGTTCTCACTCCGGGCCAGTAGGTGGCGGTAATGTGCGTCCAACGCATTACCGACGCGGTAAAAGAACAAGAGGAAATCAAGGGAAACACCGTGGAAAGAGCGCTCATTCCGCTGCTCGGAAAACGATGCGACTTCGCCTTCCACACGAAAACGTCTGTAAACTTCGCTTTTAGCATGTAGTCACGTGGAGCCTTTTACATGACAACGCCGACAATAGCGCGCGTCTGTGGTGAGTATTTGCGCATGTTCCACAGAGAGTGTAAACACAGATTTTCGCTCGCTTCCTGTGCTGCTGTTTGCCACACGTGTGTTTTTCGCGCTTTTCTCCCCCGCGGTGACGCCTCCCCCACAAGTTGCTTTTCCAGTTTTCTCCATTGGGTTTTACTTTTCAGACACCACGTCGCCTGGTGTGGAGAAATGACCATAATCCTGCGGTTGGAAGGCCTCGACGCGAAGGCAGGTACTGAAGATATACGGACGTTCTTTGCAGGCCTTCACATCCCTGACGGTGGTGTGTACATAGTAGGAGGAAGTCTCAGCGAGGCCTTTATCGCATTCACCGTTTACAGAGATGCCCAGCTTGCAATGCGCTACACGGAGAAATTCCTCAAAGGCTCTAAAGTGACTCTACACATAAGCAGCATGGCAGAGCTGGAGCAAAGGCTAAAGTCATCGTTGAAGAGGAAGAAACCCTCCCCCGTGCAGCCCGCTGTGAAGAGCCCTCCGTTGACTACAGATGCAAATGTGCTACCCTTGAATGCACATCCTCTTCAACCAACCGCCAATTCGCTGCTTCCTCTCAATCTAGATATTGCAAATCTACCACTCTTGAAAGCGCACTCAATCGACTCCAACACGGCCTTTCTTTTTGGGATTTGCACCGCCCTTCAAGGTCTCCATTCAACCCCCGTAAGTGAAAGCAGTGCTGCAGCGCCAAGAGGAGACTTTCCCAAGGCCGACGGTACGGTCACGTGTGATGAAATGAAACAAAAGCCAACTCCGGACTCGAGTCCGGGCTACGTCAGGCTCTTCGGGCTGCCAGGCGCCACTACAAAAGACGACATCTGCCAGTTTTTCAAGGGGCTGACAGTACAGGAAGCCATCGTGAATGTAGAGTTGGGACGTAGCCACGTTTGCCTCGCTAAGTTTGCAAACGCGCAAGACGCGTGCAACGCTCTCCTCTTCAACCAACACTCACTGGGCCCCATCTGTGTGGAGGTACGCGGGGCAACTGAGAAGATGTGGACCAGCGCGATGCAAGAATGCCAAAGCGCGCTTGAGGTCGGGGGAGCGACACCGAAGCAAAGCCCTCCTGTTACCCGCAGACCAGAAACCACTTCTGCACCAGAGCTCAAGAGGAGAGCTGTCGACCAATTGCCATCTAAATCACCCAAAAAGCCAAAATCTACTCCAACTATGGAGTATGTTGTCATGGTCACCAATTTACCCGAAATTATGACAAAGACTGAGATCAAAGAATTGTTTGGATGTCCCAACATTGCTCACAAAAATGTACAACATCTGCTCGACAAGGAAGGCAACAGAACAGACATCGCTTTTCTTATTTTTAACCGTACTGAGGACTACGAGTATGCAATAAACCTCAACGGCTGCCACGTCAGCTCCAATGCCATCCAGGTCTCGTCAATCGGTAAAAAAACAATGTGGGAAATGGTTGCAAAAACTCGTCCGAGAAAACAAAATAACACCGGCTCAAAGAACGAACCAAATGGAGCGAGTGGATCAAATCTGTGGGAGGAACCAGCAGAGAAGCAGATCACTGACCCGGCCGCTAAGACATGCCTGTTGGTCAGAAACATGCCCGCAGATGTAAAGAAACGCCATATTCAAAGACTTTTTGGAGACTACAAAGTGAGGGAGGAGAATATCATCTCACTACGTGACAGAGATGGCAACAGTATTGGTGAGGCTGTGGTTCAATTTCAATCTCAGAAGTTTGCTGCACTGGCCCAAAAGCTTCACGGTCAGAACTTCCTTGGGACCAAAGTGCTTCTCACTCTCATAAATGGGACTCAGGTGGAGAACATCCTGACCAGAAGTGTATCGGGAAGTTAAGTATTAATCTCAAATCCAGACCCTGGCCAAAGACTGATTAGGATTATTCCGTAATTTTATTTTTTTGTTCTTTTGAGGTGCTCTGAGCATTTCTTCACAATCCTGTTCGTTCCAGTTTGTGAACTAAAATACAAAAAATAAATGGTTTTGTCGCTCTATTAACTTTCTGGTGCTACGTGTTTATGCAGCTACATATCTGGCGTATTTAAGTAGGATAGACATGCGTTCGTGTATAAACGTGCGGGTTGGGGCTGAACGGCCTTGCGACCGCAAGGAGCAGAAAATTTTAAATCTTGACTTTGGGGGGATACCAGATATGCTTTAAAGTGTAATCTTAAACCCTTCTGGGACAACTATTGAGGTATTCCCCATTAGTCTCTATGCAGCAGGGGAACTGAGGATGTTGAATTAAATGGATTTGAAAACACACAATTTCTCCATTGGTTTAATACAATAGGGCCAAGGGAAATGAACATCGGCAATACACTTAGTTCAGTTATAGCTGCTGAAACAAGCACAAGTAATTCTGTGTAAAACTTTCAGAGCAATAAATGTTCCCATAGTCTAACAAAGTTTAAAACAAAATAATTCCCAATAAAAATAAAATGACTTAAACATTTACACAAAATCAAAGCTTGACCTCCAAGGGATGAGGAGAATGAGGAATCACATTTTAGGATTGTCATTTGTAGTACCTGGCAGGACCATCAGAGTACCTGGGTGTACCTGCAGAGACAACATGCCAAAAATCAAAAGGCAGAACATAGAAAGATGCTTCTCGTACATTTTCAAATATGGTGGGTGCCTTTTTGGTCTTTGAGACCACATACCGATAACCGACATTTGAATCACTACTGCGTCGAACGGAAGGGGGACTTTGCTTACGTACCCAGGAGACTATTAGACGAGAACCTGTCGTTACTGCTCATCATCCTGGGGGCGGTAGAAGAGAAGCTTGTGGAGCTCATTGTCAAGCTGTTCAGACTGGAACCCTGAGGAGGACACAACATACTTTGACTCGTTTTAAAAGATCTTTTTCTAAACTAGATCAAATTATTAGAAGGATTCATCCATACCCTCGATACACTCCTCAGTCTGTATTCCATCAGCACATCCGTCAGTTTTTGGGTCACCTTCAGCACCAGCTGTGCGTCGTCCTCATTCTCTATCCGAAAGGTATCCTGAAAATACATTTGGAAAAGTTGCTGTCTGTTCGAATACAAAGATGGCAGAAAATCGCATTGCGCTGCAGAGGAACGAGCCGCGTACCAGGTAAGTGAGAAGTGTAGTAGAGCGGCTGCCACTTTCTGGAGCTGCTCCCATCAAGCCTGGCCTCTCCAGTGGTTTGACTGCTGGTCTGTCCAGTAAGCTACCCCGGTACGCATCAGCATGCATCCTGCCTGGCATGTCCTCGAGGAGTCCACTCATTCCATAGCCGTCTCTCCCGCCGCCCGATCCAAAACCATCTCCAGTCCCAGCTGGCCGATGACCCATACCATCGGGGAAAGGCCTTCGATCCATACCGGAGCCATGGGAATCTTGCCTGTTCGGATAGTCAAAGCCGCCGAAGTCAGGCTCCCCATAATCTCCCCCTGGATAGTCGGAGAGAAGACCGCCCTGGGGTGGATACTCCCCTGGAAACCTCGGGTCAGAGAACCGGGGTCCTGACTGACCTGTTGCATTTAAGTTTATGGTTAATCATTAGAAAAATGGCCTACATGCACAGCGTTATAGATTATGCTTCAATGACTAACCGAAGGGTGGTCCCTTTGGTCCCATCCCTGGTGCCATTGGAGGTATAAATTTAGGAATGGCAGTACCTGTCAGCGAGGGAAGGACATGGTAGACATTCATGACGTGGGTTGTCGACCAACAGGAAAGGCTTTCTTAACAAACTCAGCAGAGTAACTTACGGAGTCCTTTGAATGCAGGTACTTCACAGGGCTCCTTCAGAATCACCTGGAAATCACAGCAGCAATAGACAAATGTAAATCCTGCAATTGTGTGTAAACTCACTTTCCATCCATCCATCCATTGTCAAACCGCTTATCCTACACACGGTCGCGGGGGGGCTGGAGTCCATCCCAGCCAACTTCGGGCGATAGACTTTGCAAATTTAATTTTTTTCCCCACTTAAATCTACCCCAACATTTGTTTTTCTTTAAATGGTTAATATATATTGAATAGTATTTTTCATTTTAAACATGGGGATTCCCAAAAGTGCAGAAAGGGTGACAGGACCTTCTCTTGCTCAAGCACTTTTATTTTTTAATTTGTTTGAGACAAGCAAGAAAACCAGGAGTGTAAAACGAGACTTGCTACAGGGCTAACACTCACCTTGAGTTGCCCCCTTCCCTCCGCCTTCTCCACCGCAGCGGAAACTTCTTTTATGGACTTCCTTACAACTGGGTCTTTGATGGCCTCCTCCTCTTCATGTGTGACCTTGTCAGGGTGGACCTTTTTCTGCATACAAGACAGATAAATATTCAAATAGAACCAACATGTCTTGCACTACGAAGCCTCTGAGGCAGACGAAGAAGCAACACTCACCAAGTATCTGAAGCTGTGTTTCCAGCCTTTTACGTGGGCAAGCATATCATGTTGCAAGCGAGAGACGGCACAGAGTTTACACTGGTAGTGTGGTGGGACAGATTTACTGGGGCTGCGGTACTCCCACACATATTGCAGACCTGTAGACGTGTGATGGTCATTGATTTAAGGGAATTATAATCCATACAGAACTGGGAGGAGGTAAAGCAGAACGGGGGGTGGGGGGCTTCTGCTTACCAATGACGTTGTCCGTGATTCCCTTCAACAGTTTGCCGAGAGAGGGCATGGTCTGGATCGATGCCCCTTTGGAATACACTGGAATACACAACAGACGTCAACACCAAGGAAACGCTTTAGAATGATACACAACTGAGACGGCAAGGCTTGTGTCCGACATACTAATCCAGAAACGCGAGATGTATTATTCTCAGTTGACAGGACACGAGTTAAGAACTTGTGTTGTGTTCTCGCACTACCTGCAGTGTCTGGTGAGGATACATTCATTTTATTTTGTCAAGATGGACTGAACAACCATTAGAAACCCAAACTCATGTTTGCTTTTGAAGCCTGGGGAAAGAACGGGGACACCGGTTCTTGTCTAACCCCCATCTTGGCTCAAAACGGGGCTGCGGGACACCTCTCACTGGGGAAAATCCCCTTTGTGTCACACTAATGAAGCGGTCCAAGTGCAAACACAATATAAATCCTGTATAATCTGGAACGAGTAAAATTGCTCGGATTAAGAAGTAATGTAGATCAAAAAAAAAAAAAGTGTCGCTCAAGCCAGTGTAGCAAAGGCATCTGAATAAAAATGATTACTGCATTCTGCAGTGTTAAGATATTTAATAGTGGGAAGGAAGAAAAAAAATCCCAGCACAAAAAGTGCGTTAAATCGTCATCAGCAACCATCATATGTGCCACTGCTTTGAGACCATGTGTGGTCGTCCCAGTGGACTAGAGGAGCGTATGTGGCTGGTCTTTAATGCAGCAACATCATAAGAGAATGGGTTGAAATTTCTAAGATTGTTCAGTATATTTCTTAAAGTGTTGAAAATGGAAAACAGACCCCAGTTTCTGAGAGAGCAAGTCCCAGAGAGTGGTGAACATGCCACCATCACCCACGATATGAAGCAGAGAAATCAAGATTTCAAGCTTCAACTCTCAGCACTGAAAGAGGCACCGCAAGGACTTACCTATCTCAGCAGAATGCTGCGGCTGCTTTCTCTGTCAACGGAGGGAATAAACCCACATGAAGGAGAGAGACACATACAGGCATTAGTGACAGGATGACACTTGGCAGAGGACGGAACTCCTCGTCCATGTCCGCCACACTATAAATGCCACAGCGCCAATGTTTTCCTTATTCTCTATGACCGCTGCATCAAGCAGCGGCAGTCAAAGAGACAGGTGTGTAAATCAAGTAGGCTGGTGATCACTCAATTCTCATTAAATGAGAATGCACAACAGCAACATTTAAATTCCCCGTTGAACAGATATAAAAGCGAACGCTTTGGTAGTCTGAATGAAAGGTACATTTTCAATTTCAAAGATGAACTAACATTTCCCAGAATATAATTAAGCTGTTGCAGCAGGACATTGTTTTCCAACGGCCTTACACCAAGTTTGGCGTGTTCGGGAGCCCAACAAATATACGTGTGACTGACTAAAATAGCAAACATCCATGATCTGATAACTAAAAAGGCAGATCCTTCAATATGTTGTGCCCTGGATTTCATCTCTTGCTATGTAACTAACATCTGCAACAAATTCACAACTTTGACAGCAGGATTTCATGTATATGAATAAATATGTAACAGTGCAGGTAACTGCTTTCAAACCAAATATTTTCCAGAAGATCCTTCCAGCAGCTGCTAAACGTGAGTCTCATTGGTTACAGACGAAACAGCACTCAGGTGTAAAATCTGAGTAGCCGTCAGACATCGGTTCAGAGAACCCTGCTCACGTCCCACATCGATGAGTGGGAAATCTGAGAGACGGTGTAAACTGCAATCAGTTTCAGCGGATAAATGTTTGCATGGTGAAGCAAATAAAGTGGATTTTGCAAAACTGGTGCGAAGATATTCCTTTAAACCACAACAGTGATAACACTGGCCACGGACGTGACGGTCGGACCACTGAGTGGGGGCTTCGTGCATCACAGTGCAAAAAAACAACAACCTTGAGAGCACAAGGGCTGGCACCAAGTCTACGAGCCAACGAACTGCTGCCGCCTGACTCTCCATCAGGCATCGCAGCAGCCAGACAAGTGCACAAACTCACCAATAAGAGGAGGAGGAGGAGGGCGGCGCAAGAGGGAAATCATGTTTTCTTGACGACTGGCCCGAAGTGAAATACGTGAGGTGCGGGTGCAATTGTTTGTGCCGTTAGTATTTTTGTTCTTTTTTTATCGTGATGCTTACCCTGGCATTTCTCTTTTGGTTTAGCTGAGGCCCGTGTGTATGTGCAGGCTGGATGAATGAAGCTTGAGCCTCCATTTCTTCAATTTCTCTCCACTGTGGGACAAAGAAGGTGATTGCATGAAAAACACGCAGAGACATTACATTGTCGTTTAGCTGACGCTTTTATCGAAAGCGATTTACATTAAGTGCATTTCAACCATGAGGATACAAACTCAGAAGAGCAAGAAACAAGAAAGTGCAATTTCAGAGACATGAACTCATTGGTCGGTATTACATTTGGATCTATGTTGCACATGTGTTGTGTGCATATTTGTGTTCATTGTGTTGTTACGTAGGATCTCAGGCCCAGTCGAGCCTTATTTACCCACTGCCTTAAAAACATTCGACTCTGAATTCCGAACCATATCTAATCCGATACAAACGCTCTAATCTAGTTAACGTTAAACAACAATGCACTACCACGTAACTTACCAGAGACCAGAGCTATTTAACTACGAGCTACGAGTTTCCTCGATGCGAACGATCGACAGAATAGGAACAGTGCGATGACGTTAAAAAAAAACAATTCCCAAGCCCCAAAGCCGCCGCACGGATAACAGGAAGCGGCGCCTTTTGCCAGTCTAAAAAACACATAACGTAACCTTTTACCTTCGTGCTGTACAACCAAACTGGATAGAATTTAAAAAAATAAATGAACCACAATCAGAATAAGTCATATATTCTTCCGAGCCATTCAAAATAATGAATTGATTATTGTGTGTATTGATAAATGTGTTTGAAAGGCAATTGTGAGGACTACTGCGTAGTACGCTCGTTTTTCGTACCAGGGCGTACCGTTATGCCTTGCTGGATCGGAATTTAACCAGGTATTGAACACGTTTCTATTTCTCATGTCAGCTGTAGACACTTTTATGTAAAATGAATTCCATTGAGAAGTAGGTGCATGAAATATTTCTCGGGAATGTTTAAACGTCGATGGGGTCCCAATCACGGTTACATGTTTTTTATAGTTAGCAGCCTTTGTACGAGTACGCACCAGGTATAAGAGTCAGAGGACCCGCGGCATCAACACGAGATTGAAAACAGAACACTTTCTTTTTATATTTATTGATATCTGCTAGCGGAGTGTTTTGTGCTTTCTAAACCTAACACTGTAGCAGCCACGGCTTTTTAAAATTGGTAAGTTAAAACTGGACTGTCATGTATGATGCTGAAGCTTTATTCGAAATCGTTAGCTTCAAGCTAGCTAACTCAGGTTAGCTGACGTTTAAACGTCATGACAAGCGCTCCCACAATCTAACTTAACCATTTGGAGCAAACAATTAGCACTTTGCACAGACTGTGCCACACAATGCGTGTTGAATACTCCAGCCACCTGTACCGAACATATGTCACTGTGGTTCTGACTGAAAACGATGCACCCATTCAACTCCATCATCTCACCTGCACGACAACCGCATAGACCGCAGAGATGAAGTCCAAGAAAAAGAAGAGGCAGGATGACTTCCAGAAGGTCAAGTTAAAGGTGGGGAAGACGAAGCCCAAAGCTGATAACGCCACCAACACCAACTTCCGCTCGAAGGGAATCCATCTAACCGAACAGCTGAAGAGAGACCCGAGTTGCCCCACCACGCACAGACAGCTTGGTATCAACGTAAGCGCTTTACCTGTCAGCAAGCCCCTTCTTTCACTACGCATTCATTTTTGAAATACAAACACTATTTTTTTCCTTTCCCCTTTGTCTCTCTTTCGTTATACTGCACCAGGACCTGCTGTCTCAGCTCCACCATCACAATGCCAACGTGAAACATGGTGCCTTGGTGGGTTTGAGAGAGTTGCTGTCCGTTCATCCTTCTTTGTTGGAGCAGCATCTGTCTCGCCTGCTTTCCGAAGTCGCTGCCGTTTTCACGGATAAGGATGGCAACGTTCGCGTCGCATCTACTCGTGTGCTCAGGTAAGCGAAGCGACAGTGATTCAGTAATACAGAAAATAAACAACATTTGTGCCTTTTTTTTTATTCGATTTTTAAATAACCTGTTTAAACGGTCCAAATTCTTCCAGATTCATTGCACAGTCTGTGCCTGCAGAACGCGTGGCTCCCTTTTACCCTGTCCTCAGTGCCCATCTATCTTGTGCCATGACCCACATCGAGGCAAGCATCCAGGAGGATGCCATGAAAGTCCTGGATGTGTTGCTGGAACACTACCCGGCGTTGCTAGCAGCACAGCCTGCAGTACTCCTCACCAACTTCCTAGAGTTGATCTCTCACAAACAAGACCGTGGAAATGCCAAAAAGTCCCAGGATGCCAAGGGACGGACCTGGGCACTGTCTGTCAACCTTAGCAGGGCCGTGACCAGTCAGCAGTGGCGACTGTCTGTTCTCCTTCGGTATGGAGGCCACGTGCACACAGATTAAAAAAAAAAACTTAAATCAAGGTTCTGGCTACTAATTCTTTTGTTTGTGTTGTTTGTATTTCAGGCTTGGACGCTTTCTGCAGGCAGTAGTTGAGGAAAGACCGGGGGAGGAAAGTGATATTTTTATCCCAACTGAAGGAGCATTTAGCTTCAGTGGCGAAGGCAGGTTGACACCTCTGTATCTCAACTGGGAAGAACTCACCTACAGCAAAGTTGGAGTGAAGGTGTATGAACATTCTGGGGCCAAACCAACCCCCCAGTCCACATTTAGACTCAGGTACAATAACACAATCTTCTGGTACCAGGAGTAGGACACAGTCGGGTTTAATTTGATAATATGACACAAGAAGTTTAGTTTCCGTTGAGTTTAAACCATTTAATCTTAATCGTATTCTTTATTTTCTGCCTGTGTAGAGTGGAGGTGAACTCTGGACCCACAGTGGGCGAGGATCTGGACTCAGCAGAGGCTGTTCAGAGCTTTGCAGCCACACTAGTTCCTCTTCTACTTGAGGTGTGGGTAGAAGCCAGTACCAGTGACTGTCCCTGGAACACCACCGAGGGCGCTCACCTTCTCAGCCCAGATGCCATGTCAGTAATGTTCCAGGTGCTGTCTATTCTGCAACTGCTAAGAAAACTGGCACCACAGAGGGAGCACCAGGATGCACTGGTGAGACGAGGAGAGGACGAGCATCACACTTTTTTCTACATAAAAAGATTTACTAAAAATGCCTTTTGCTTTGAGTAGGATGCTTGGTTCCACAAAGAATACCTCAAAGATTTTAAGCAGCACTTCATGAAAAACTTTCCCTATGGTTCCCGGGACACACCAAAACATAAAAAGAAGGTTGATCTTAAAAGGTAAGTAATATCAATGGTAAAAAAAAAGAAAATCCCTTCTTTGCCCCTACATAATGTTTTCAATTTCCCTCTGTGTGAGCTACCAATGATCAGTAATACTAATTTCTGGTGTGAAGACCTTATCTTGCTCAAACTGCTGTAATCCCTCGGACCCTTCCTTTTAGGAGTAAGCAGACTGCAGCCGTCCCAGGATTGATTGTGGAGCCTCTGGCCCTAAACATCACACTATGCCAAGTCATGGTGTCCCTCAGCCAGAAGCAAGTACTCGGTCGAGAGACAGGTGGAGACTGGCTGACACCTTTAAGGACGTTTGTCCGGGACACGCTCAGCAGCGGAGTGAAACTGAGCTACAGGCAGCTCCACATGCTACTGGGTACCGTGTGGAGGATGGTGTTCACACAGAGAAGCAAAAGTAAGCGCGTAAGGCATTACAATAAGATTTAAAATGGTTTATTAATGGGATTGCATAACAAACCTACAGTTCTAGGGATGTAAATGTTTATCTCAGTATTTAAGGACAAGATTATGGGTTGGTATCCAGATACTTGTTTCTTACTGTTTTAACATTATTATCTGTATGTTTTTAATTTGTGCAGCAGTGACCGATGAACTGTTGGCAGCGGTGTATATCTACTACCAGCAGAGGCACCTGACTCTACAGACAAGATCTCTGCTGCTGTCTTTTTACAGCAAGCTCTACCTGCAAGAGCAAGGACATGCACACATAGCGAGGTAACCTCCGCAATTGTTGCTCAATCTGTGGGATAATTAAATGGGGGATTTGCAATGCTGGTACACAGCTGTAGCTTCATATTGTAGAGAAGCTGTTAGATATTGAATCACAATGTTTTTCAAATCTAACCCTATTGGCAAAAATACAATATCCTCGCACAATGGTATGATAGTCTCGCACAGCCAGACTACATCTCACAACCTCAGCTTTTGTGCGTTAGAAGCACGGACCAGTGAGTGAAACATATGAGGGGGTTGATGTCTATTACGTATATGTGTCTTACTCAATTCATCCAAGTCTGCGCCCCAATTTAAGACTTTTCCTGATTTTCCAATATTATTGACTTATTTTTAGACCCTTTTAGAAATATGACAAACTTATTTAGATCGCTGGTCATTTTAACAATTTTTATGCAGACATGCCATTCACATCTCTAACTATGTCTGATTCAATGACACGTGTATGTTATCCCTTCCTCTGGCTCTCTCTGAAGGAGCAAGGTGTTATGCCGTTGGTTGGCATCTCTTCCTGTGCAGTTGTCCCAGCTGGGCCAGCGTAACCCAGCTCTCTCCGCACGACTTATCCTGTCAATCCAGGCTGCCGCCTCTCGGAAACACAAAGACCTGCTCAACAGTCTGCAAACACATGCCTGCATGCTCTACGGTACGCAAACTCAATTAGTGGCACCAAGAAAGGGTCGACTATCATAGAGCATTTTAACAGTAATATTAGATACCATTTTCATATTTATATCACAGCCATATATGAAAAGCAGACATCAACAGAGATAAATGCATAAATATGTTATTGCATAGAAGTTTGTGATGACTTGTTAAATATAAATATAGCTCAGTTATGTAGCGTATTATAGGGCAATGTAAAAGAGTTCTTACTTATTTTTAGTTCTTGTTTTTTTTTTCCACTGCTGAATTAATGAAAAGTGTAAAGGATTCATGCGTGACATTTCTTTTTCTGATGTCCATATACATTCAATACAACGTGCAGCAACGACGGTCAGATTACCAAAGAGAAACATGTTCCTATGCCAGGAGAATTCTGAGCCACATGTTACACCATACTTTCTGTAGGAGGCAGTATAACTCCACGTCTCCCACCCACGGCAACTTTGTCAAACTGAACTAGAACCAGAGAGCCTGAATACATCCACGGCTATGAGGGTGTTGGGATAGTTGGGTTTTCTCGGTGACAGAGGGGGCCCATGAGAGGAGGAGCTCTGATAGAAACTGATGCAGAGCCAGCAGTTCACTATCACAAGACTCCTTTTGTCCGGGGGCTTCTGACATCAGCATGTGCGTCAGAGACAGACATAAAAACACACACACACGCATCATCTGAGCCAAGCTTGTCTCTTTTTTACTTGTTTAAATATCTAATTTTCCGGGTATTTATTTAATGTTCATTCTGTTTCCCCAGAGACTGCAGTGCATTGTCGTTTCTAAGCAATTGTATGTCTGTGTAGATCCGCAGGAAGGAGTTATGGTGCTTTTGCCAGCAGAGTCCCAGCAACGAATGGTGCAGCTGCTCTACTTTCTACCCAAGATGCCCCCGTCTCTTCTGGCCAATCTGAGCTACTGCTGCACCGTTGGACGAATCTCTGCCGCTCTCAGTGCCTCTCTGATTCGTATCGTACACTTTCGGTGAGCTTGAAAAACCCAATGTGCCTGTAGAGGCCACAGGAACTTAACTTACTGCCTTATGTGTGTGTGAGGAGACGCTCCTGTTTTTTAAGGGAGAAAAAAGTCAAACTGTTCAAGCGATCAGTAAACTGTGTTGGACACTCAAAGCGCTCCCCCCTGCCGCCCTCAGATGGCAGTATTGTGCTTTCACAGATGGATCCCGGACATTCCTTTTTTCTGGCTCCCTTGCCTGCCTGTATACAGGTGCCGATGCGGACCCCCCTTCTTATACTTAACCTACGGCTCACAACAATAACCGCTGTTTCCATATTTTTGTATTCTGACACACACGTACAGGTTACCTTTCCTTGTAACAGTGTGTGTGTGTGTGTGTGTGTCCGCAGGCATTTGCGTGTCTGGCCTTCTGCTTGTGCCAGTTTGTTGAAATTTAGAGGGAAGGGAGTGCTGAGTTCAGATGGGATGTGTGTGTAATGGGGATGATACAAAGAAGTCTTTGGTGGACTGGAATGCAGAGTCGTCATGGAGTATCGAGGAAACAGTTCAGCCTGCATGTGCCTCCCGGGCCTCACAAACCACACTTGTTGTTAAATTGAGTTTCCTACTGTTACAGATCTCTTCTCCCCTCGGGACGAGGAACTTTATTTCTATGCTCTATTATCCTCAATGCGATGCTTTCACAAAACCGGGCGTCATGAATAATCATAGGAAATGGGATGAGGAATGTGTAACCAGGAAATTGTTATTTTGAAATCAAGTCGTTTTGTCCAAAAAGAATAGTTGCAGAAATTAAACACGTTGTGATGTTTGATGCTCTGAGCGACGGGGGCTCTGGGATTAACGCAGATGAGCGGGCCGTTGTTCACCGTGCTCACCGATTGTGTCCTGTAGGTCATCTTTGAGCGGCTGGTCGGTTGGGAGCCAGGAAGCGGCCCTCCAGGACGCGGACTACATCAGCTTCTTGTTTTCCACCATGACGGGATTCTCGTCCGACAAGCTCGCCGCCCTGCAGGAGGCCGACGACGCCCTTCCTCCCTCCCCTCTCTCCCCCCTCAGCCTGTCCCCCACCTCGCTGGAGCAGTTCACACACCACTGGGACGTCGTTGAGGTGCGTTCACTTCAGTTACCACAAAACTCCCATGCATGATAACTTCAACCAGGGCCACTGCCAATAAGAAATATTTGGACACAACTTTGAAAATGAACCTCGCATGGACATGGAGGTGAAGGAAATGAAGACATCGTTTGAAAATTCAAAAGTGTTGATATTCTGGACACAGCTGTGGTCTTTCAGCCTCCCATGGTCCCTCTGTGTCTCCACATATAGAGCTCAGAGGGTGGAAGCTTTATCGTGGCACTGCGGCTGAGAGGGGAACCTTTATCGCGTTGCGCAGGTTGAAGATGCGTGGTTATCGGGCAAAGCGGATATGCACAAATGCTAATGAGAGCCCATGGCATGATGGGAGTGTGACATTTCTGCACAGGAAATTACAGTTAACATTACTATGCCCTGGAGCAAGTGCGTCTGTGTGTGTGTGTGTGGAGGGGGGGCGGCTTATAATCACTAATTCAGCTCCTCAATTAAGCCCTCAGATCCTGCCTCTCTCATCTCCCTGTCTGAGTCAATCACAGGCAAGTGACGGGCAGGAGGGGGGGGACTCGAGGTGGTGAGGGGGGAGGCATTAAGGGACGGACTGTGTCAACTCTGGTTCGACTAATGAGACAGGATTGTTTTTAATGACGCCGAGAATGCCAACAGGTGCACCGTTCTGACACACGCTGGCTTGCAACTCACTCCTGCACGCAATTGGATAAAAGCTAATGAGAGATTGATTTGGATTCAAAGTTAATGAGGAGAAGCTTAGCATTATTTTTCACTTGTAAAAAGTTTTTGGCAGATTCTTGTATCCGTCCCAGTGAAAATGAAATGGACACCGTTTAGTGAATCTGTACTTTGGAAACCACAAAGCAACGGCCTTACCTTTTTCAGAGGGATGTAAAAATGTGTTCTTTACATTAGTGATGTGGTTTCTCTGATAAATGCAAGTTGGAGATGTTTTCAAACGGGTTTTTCTTAATTTCGTCATAAATAGTTTCTCCATAATATCATTCTTGCCGTTTTATTTTACAACCCTGCCCTTGTTTTTCTACAAAGAACAACACTCATTACCTGACATCTGGAAATTAAAATTTAGAGGGATTTGGTCAATTTCCATGAAACTACAAGATTAGCATCCCTAGTATTGTAACAGGGAATATAAACATGTTTTTTGTCATATATTGTTATTTGATACAGAAAACATTGCTTTATGCAGTTTTTCTTTGGGATTTTTTTGGAAACACACTTCCGTCCGCTGCATATTTAAAAGCCAAACTTTGACCACTAAATCTTTCAAATCTGCATGGTAAAAATATATTGTTTTGATATAAAAGATATGATTTTTTTCCCCCACAGGAAGTCTGCCACTGCCTGGAAACCCTGGGTTCAAAGTCTCAGTGCTTTGACATCTTCCAAAATGGCATTTGCAAATACCTGGTAAGAAACTGTTTGTCGTTGAGCAGGCAATAACTCTGAGGACTTTGTTGTACGCTTTACCACTATCATGTGAATAATCCTCTCCTTACATGTCAGACCAAGCTGGGAGTGGTGCCTGACAGTATGGCGGCCGGGTTGCTCAGAGCCGTGTCCAGATTACTGGACCTGTCCGTCCTGCCCGTCGAGGCCGTGCTGCGCTTCTTATCCCAGTGCTGCCTCAGCCTACTGGCTCTGCTCATCACCCTGGAGCAGGAGTCACCTGCCGAAACCAACCACAAAAGGTGTGTGTGCGTCGAATGACGACGACTAGAAACAACCATCCACTGATGTGTTGATGTGATCTCTAGACCTTGATAGAAGCAGTTTGCCACTATAACAATTGGGATTTAAAAAAACGCACGTGTCCCATTTTTCAGGGAGGCAATCTGGGGTGCTTGTGTGTCAGCCTTGAGCTCCGTCCCGCGACTCCTCCGACTGGTTCTGCAGTCGATGCGCGTGGGAGATTTGAGCGAGGAGGAGCTGCCACAGCTTGGACAGATCCTGTCGATGCTGCTGCAGCACACGCCGATCCACAACCAGCTGATGGCCAACGCCGCCCTTCTGCAGGAGATCATACAGCACCTCACTGTAAGCACGGCTCCACAGACGCTGGTCAAGAAACAAGTTCGACGGAGGGCTTGAGGATGTTAACTTCTTACGTCGGCTGTTTTCTGTGTCTTTTCAGAGGTACACCCGGGGGACGACCAGGGAGCAGTGGTTGACGGACTTACTCTACTGTTACACTGTCACCGTGGCTCACGGTGCCTCCGCTCGCCGCGGAAACCTGAACCTTCGAGACATGTACTGACCGCCGAATCGCCACCTGGTGTGTTTCCCAGTCCCCCCCTCACAAAAAACTGACTAACACTCGCAAAGAAGCAATGAGATGCATACCACAAAACGTTCAGACAGGAATACAGTCGATGGACATGTTTGTTCATTTTGAGCTCTTTGTTTTGTGTCTTGAGCTGCTTTATAGCTTCATTCTTAGTTTGGTGGTTGTTGGTCGTCTTTTTGCCCTTTTCATACCATCGTTGCCCGATGGTGTCCTGTGCGTCTGCCGACGACTTTTGATACAAAAAGGTTAAAAAAATAAAAGTTAATTCAAGTTTGCGTTTTGTGTCAATTTTATTTAATTTATTATACAATAGAAAAAGAAGAAGAAAAATCTGGCACTTCTAAAATTACACAAGATGATCATTTTGTGCATATTTAAGTAAATACAAAGGGTATAGTTAAGAAATACGTCTTGAGACGGAAAGCACTTAAGAGACTGTTATATAGAGAGTAACTGTGTGTGTGTGTGTCCATGGCTGCAGGTGGGCTATCTCTATGACCGGCTGTTGATAGACTGCCTCATTCTCCAGAACAGGAGGAAAGGTTATCTCAGTGTGTGTGCGAGAGCGATGGAGAACGAGGGAGATGGCGTGTGTGTATGTGTTCCTCTCACAATGGATGAAAGGTTATGTTTCACACACACTGTTTCTGTAGACTTAACCCCACCCTGTGAGGTCATGGCTCTGATGTCATATGGCTTAATTTTAGAAAGCTTGGCACATTGAGCGAACGATGTGTAAAGTAATTCTATAGAAGTAAGGCCGCTAGCCAGCTGAGAAAACGTGTGTGTGGGTGTGTGTGGGAGGGGGGGGGTCAGTGTTTACCCCGGCCTCTGGTCCCTTGTCCCGCACTATGTGGTCTCAGGTGGTAAGAGTACTGCTTGGCTTGATTCACAACGTCAGTCAGGTGCACGCAGTCAATACTGCTCACTGTAAAATAAGCACAAAAAACCCCTCTTCAGAGACCCTCACTTCATTGAAAGTGTGTGTTTGTGGACTTTGGTGGACTTACGCTGGCTCTGTGGGCGTAAGGACATGTCCAGCAGCAGCTGAGACTGAGAGCTCTGAAGAGAAGGTCCTCGTCTGGCCATAGAGTTGCCTGGAGGACAGTCAAGGAAAATGTTTGCATACATTCATTTCGGTCACGTGAACAGTTTATGCATTCAAGCAGCTGCAAAACGAAGCTCAGGACACACCTTGAACATATATATTGGGCTAACAATGGCCTGAACCTAAAACTGCTCAGGGTGTTGTCTTCAACTATGTAATTGGGAACATCCCCCTTCAACAGGCTCTATAGCTCAGTGGCAGAGCACTGGTCTTGTAAACCAGGGGTCATGAGTTCAATCCTCATTGGAGCCTACTTTTTTGAAGAATTTAGTAGTCACACTATAAAAAAAGTTATAAAAAGCTTCACTGTTTTATTGACGTGGCATATCTCATGCTGGAAGAGTTCTGTGGTTTTTAATGGAAGACACAACGGCCAAAAACACAATTGGGTGGATAAATTGTGGAATTTGTCTATTTTGTCTTTTAATGGAAAGAAAATAAATATTGCCTTAATTCACCAGAAGTTAGCTTTAGATTTAACCTGATCTGCATTTTAAACACGTTTAAAAAAACATGCGAAAAAAACAATTGAATTGTTATTAATCAATTGGGATATGTCATGGTGGCATTCTTTGGTCAAGTTATTCACCTGAAATATTTATACAAAACATCTTCAAAGTTTGTCTTACCATTTATTTTGGGTTTGTTTATGCATCAAACCTATAATGATATCTGACCTCTTATTCCTAGAAACATGTACCTTTTTTATGGATGATGACAGTATTTTCTCATTTATGTAACAAGATACACAAAATACTGTGGTAAAAACTAATGTGAACAAAATGAAACTTCTTTTAACTTGGTTTCATCCAATGTTAACTATTTTTGGAAATGTGTGCAACATAACGCCTGATTTGCTTATTTAAACAAAAGATTTAAGAAAACTACACAAGTACTAGTCTTTAGTGCAGATAATCAACAGGGGATGTTTTATGGTGATATACATTTGTAAAATCCTTCAATCTTTCAGCTTGTAGCGTCTCCTCTTACCATTCCTCTAATCAACAAACCAATCAAACGTGCACACGGCATATCTGCGACTGAGTTATTTTATTTACATTTGAGATAATAATTAACAGGCAATTAAGGATTAATGGAACAGTGTGACCCAGTCGAGTTGTGTCAAAAGCCCGACTTCTCAGCATAACAAATGAACACCAAAAAAGAAGTGCAGGTCTGTGTGCGTATGTGTGTGTTGTGTGGGGTTGCACCATGTCGGGGTTTCTGTGTGCGTTCAGCTGACGGCTCTACGCAGTCGTCTGACATTCCCCCTGACAGCTCTGAACTTTTCACAGTGCCAGGACTGTCAGAGAGCGAAGAGGGGAGGGAGGGGAGGGAGGGAGGTGAGGTGAGGGAGGGGCAAACCGCGTTAGTGGGCTCTGTCCGTCCGTCGGTGAGCGGCGGCGGCATGCACGTGTGAATGTTTTGGCGCAGAAAGGTTCCTGCCCGTTCTCCCATCATCACCTAGTGATGTGCGATGAAGGTCAGGCCTGTCTGCTCTACCAGAGGTTCCACACAGGACACCAGGCAGAAACTGCCCCGGTCTGCCGATTGAAGCGTCACCCAGACATTTACATGGGTTCCTGTTCCAATGAGTTTGTCACCGACACCACGTTCCCGACCGTTTTATCAAACATCCTGATTTCAGGCTTCTTCTGTTCCCCCACGTGGGAATTACCATGCGGTCCGGAAGCTACGGTTTCCAAAGTGTCTGTTAGAAAACTGCTGTTGTTGCACTTATTCTGACGAAAATCCATTAGACGGTCCCATAAAAAGACGTGAGGCCACAGTCGTCGCCAAGTACTTCCCAGCATCCTTATCCTTTCAACCATCTAGCCACAGGGACAACGTTTGGAAATCTTCATTTAGATTTTCATTTATCAGCATTCAACTGGTGCTGCATAACAAAGCCCAGACACTCCTGTAACTGGTTAAACCAGTCACACAGCTTTGGTTGTGCAGGGTATTGTCTTTATATACACAAACTGAAGCACACACTAACACATGGGCTCTATAGCTCAGTGGCAGAGCACTGGTCTTGTAAACCAGGGGTCATGAGTTCAATCCTCATTGGAGCCTACTTTTTGTTTGTTTTGTACAATTTGTGGGTACAAATAAACAACTCAAAGTAGTTAATTATTTTTTCATGTTCAGTATGATGAAATTATTTTTTATTCTGCCGCATTAAAATTAAAAGAATGTTTATCCCATCAAAAAGCATATATATATATATATATATATACACACACACACACACACACAATCTTTTCTTAGTAACTCCTTTTTTTGGTTGAAGATCTCAGTTGTCTGTGGAACTCAGATTTTCCCAAATTAATCTCAAAACATCTATCAAACAAAGGATGAATTCATTGTCATGAGTTTTTTAATTTAATGCTCCAGCCGGATCTGACGGAGTCCAACTCTGAGTTCACATTTGTTCAATTTTGACCTGCAAATTTGTACGGCTCATGGAAACAGTGACGCATTGTGTTAGAATAAGGACTTCTCTATTTCCAAACAGTGTGCCATCATTCTGATAAATTACTATCACCAGATATACAAATTGCAACACCACTCTCAAGGACCGTCTGTAATTGCTGATAGAGTACACAAATGGCCCATTTAATCCGGGTCATCGCATCTTCTTCAGCACAAAGTTTGAAAGAAGCAAAAAGCAATGATCTCACCGTAGATGCTTTGCAGCACTGAGCTTTTACTCGCCGACAGTTTGTTGGGTTGAGTTTGGACTTCCATCTTCCTCCTGGTGTGGGCCTGGTTTGAATAATTTGACTCCACCTTCTCACAGGCCCGTACCTCTCCCCGCCTGCAAGCGTGGAACCTGCAGACACGCACCCGTGCGTGGGCAAAGTAAGCAGGCACGGGATTCAATAAAAACAATTCTAGACTGTGTTCAAAGGTTGAAAAGCTGGCAAGTCTTAACACTAAGACTCACTAAGCATAAACAAAGTAAACTACATTTATTTAAAGGCAGTTAATAGGCAGCGCACACAGAATATAATCGTGAAACTGAATGGAAACAGAGGACCTCCTGTGGCGGACTGGCAACCTCTTAAGAGAAACAAGAGTATGTAGGAGCGAGAGAAAAGCACAAAGCGGCTGCTGGTAGCGATTAGAGTAGCACGGCTGAACTTTTAGCCTCTTGTTAAACCAGTACGAACGCTCTAGATTATAGCTCGTCTGTCCCTGGCCTCCTTGTCTCACCCGTCTCCCACGCTCTCCCTCTAACTGCTCAAGTGTTGATGTTGATAGCATCCAGACCAACAATTGGGGGGAGGGGTGGGGCTTGCACGAGAGAAGCGAACGGGTTGCCATGTACGTGAGAGCGGGCGCACATGTGGGCACCACATGGTACGGCCTCCTCTCCCACAGCCAGAGAGGCTTCAGCTACTGAACGAGGTACGACCACAAGCGCGCGCGCACACAAGCACACGCACGGGAACTCACCTGCGCCAAGCGGCCTGGATGACGCGTGCAGCCTCGTTCCTCCTCCGGCGCTGCTCTTTGTTGTGTTCCCTGTGTGCGCGTGAGGAGACGGGCGCGTGCGTGGCGGACTGAGTCTTTCTCGACGGGCCTTTGTGGTCTAAAAATGAGCCGCTTCTCAACGGGGGAATGTGAGTTCCATCTTTGGCGGCGGCCTTTTCTGAAGTCTGCTCCTTATGGGTCCTGGGCTTTCGCGGAGCGCCGAGAGCATCGGCCTCTCCGCGGGCCGCATGCGCAGTCACGTGAGCGTCTCTCTTCTCTAGTAGCGTTTTGTCCGTCACCGCAACACACGTGGAAAGGAGGAACGTGTTTGAGGAAGGTCGTTCCCTGACTTTGGGCATGGTGAGGGGGCCAGGCGTGAGGCCGGGCGGCTGGCCGCAGCTGACCGGGGAGAGGAGTTCATTCAGTCTGGTGGTCTGGAGAGCAGCGGGCGCAGTGTCAACGGTCACATGACGGTGGCGGCTCGAAGCATCAGCAACCTTGTGTGCTTCAGCTGCTTTCCCTCTTCTGGAGGATCTGCTCTTGTGGGCTGGTTGGAGAAGAAGAAAATGAAAAAACATAATTATATGAAATGTATTCATATATATTTGTAATCAACATGACTCCTTGTTTAAATAGGCAATACACTCTGAAATAGGGATAAAAAACAAATGTATTAGCCTCTAA